GACGTCACACGTGCACTCCAGAAAAACCACAGATCTGCCGTAGTAGACATTAATGCATGGAGCAGTGCAGCAGACTAAACAATGAAATGACAGTCGGATATACAGCCCCACGGCCACCGCTCTTAGACAGAGAGCAACCACTTTGTATGCGTGCGTCAGTGTGAGCTTTAACTAAACGAATTCTGTGTTACGAGCCAGCACTTTAGTTTTTAATAAAACTGTGCACTCATTGAATGATTCTGAACCTCTGTTATATTTTTCAAATGCGAAAGTTAAGAGGTTCGGAAGATTTAGGCGGCCAAAGTATGAACTTTCACAAATATAATATGTAGAGATTATACAACACAAGAGGTGTGATCTACTTCACATCAGAAAAAATATGTCAAGTGACGCCTTCGCTGCTTTAGAACAGTTTATTTCTCTTTTCGACCTCTGTGTTCTGTGTCCTCGCCAACCGAAAAGAAAAACTTGTTGTGACTGCCTTTTAAAGACAGCAAACTGTGCCATGTCTGGAAACCCGGATAACGAGATTAGGACCAGATGGGTTTCAGTTTGAGTGCTCACAAGTGCGCGTGCTGGTGTGAGCGTCTAGATCTACGCCGTTTTGAGTCATCTTACGTAATGTAAAATCGTTTCTTCATCTGTAAACCTGTCTTTTAGCTGGCTATTTGTGAATGTTGTATTCTCGCCCATGAGGCAATTTGTCTGTTTACGTCAGTTGTCTGTGTTTGGCGCATGTGTTCCTTTGTGTGAGCAGAGGCGTGGCGCCTGTCTGTGTGCGAGTAAAGGTTATTGTTGAAGGCCTTTGCTAGTCGGAATCTTTGTGGTTTTATCCTCGCGTAGGCCAAGTGTGATGATGTACACATGGCCAAAAGTGTATGTATGTACGTGCGGTTATGCATTAATTTGATTGAGTGCTCATGTTGAGGTATATTATGTGTATTCGTAATTGTGTGTGTGTGTATGTGTGTGTGAGTGAGTATGGGTGTGTGTGTGTGTGTGTGTGTATGGGTAAGGGTGTGTGTGTGTGTGTGTGTGTGTGTGTGTGTCTGTGTGTG